TTGTGCTATAGTCTTTGCTATTTTTAATTTTTTCAATTTTTATTTAATTTTTATTATTAGAAACAAGACACAAGCACACCTATTAGTTTAGGCCTACACAGGTTCAAGATATTCAATATAACTGTCTTCCCTCGTCACATCTTGTCCCACTAGAAGATCTTCAGGGGTAATAAAGTTAACAGTGGGGGTGGGGGAAGTGCAGGGGCTCAGCTCCCTCCCCCTTGACTGCCAAAGATATAACTGGGGGATGGGAAGAAAGCTGCAGGGGCCTTCCAAAGATGCTGCTAGTTCCCAGATCCAATGTGCCCAGGTCCTAAGCCTCTCTTGCCCCAGGAATCAGGGAAGGCGCCCTGGAGGCACGGAGAGCTTATCGTTGGAATAAATATCACGAACCCAAAGAGTTTAGCAGAGAGCAATTTATTAGACAGAGAGAGAAAGAGAGAAGGAGAGAGAGCTGCCACACTGCAGTGGGAGGGGAATCCTGAGGGAATATCACCACAGGTAAGGGACAGTGGGTTTTTAACCTTGGAGTAGAAATCTTTCAAGTAGTTTCTCTTTATTGACGTTATTGTTACAATTGTCAAAAAATTACCTCTTCATACACAGAAAACCATACAAGACTATGTTATATTTACTTTTTAAATTTGTGTATCTTTTAATATTTTAATATACACAAATTTAAAAAGTAAATATAACATAGTCTTGTATGTTATTACATACATGCAAGAGAATACAGCCTTAAGAGAAAAGGCTATTTTCTCTTAAGTTCTTAAAAGAACTTAAGTTCCATACAATCCTGGAATTTACTGCACTGAGAACTGGAAGAGGCAGGAAATAAACAAATAAGCAAAAGTAAGCAAAAAATTACAAATTGTGGTATACTACTATGAAACAAAAAAAGAGTGAAGAATAGATGATACTGTGGGGTGCCAGGAGTTCTTAAAAGAACTTAAGAGAAAATAGCCTTTTATAGTTTGATAGATATATAACATCTCAGTTGCTCTTCCTTCCTTCCAGAAGATTCAAGCTTCTCTTTGATATTTGTAAATAACTTGAGCATTTATTATAGAGTAGGTCTATTAGTAATAAAACCTCTTAGTTTTTTGTTTTTTTTTTCTTTTATCTGAAAATGCCATTATTTACTCCTGATGTGCTAGGAAAATAGAATGTATGATTGACATTTTTTTTCTTTTTAACTTCAAAGATTTTGTTCCATTGTTTTCTGAACTTCATAGTTTCTGATGAGGCTTCCATGATGTTCGAATTCTTGTTCCACTGCATGTAGTGTATTACTTTCAGGGAAGATTTAAAGTTTTTTGTTTTGTTTTGTTTTTTTTTTTCTTTAGCTTTGGTTTTCAGCAATTTAATTGTGATGTGTATAGACATAACCTTTTCTGAATTTATTTTATTTGGAGTCTGCTGAACTTCTTGAATCTGTGAATGTATGCCTTTCCCCACATTTGAGGTTTTGGTCATTATTTCTTCAGATAACTTTTCACTTCATTCTCTTTCTCTTCTTCTAGAATTCTAATTACTTTTGGAGAGTGTGACACAAGTCCCATTGCCCATTTTTTCAATCTTCATTATTCTCCTTTTTGCAATCTGGATAACTTCTAGCGATCTTCTAGTGATTTTATTTTTATTTTCCTTGATTCTTTCCTATGTCAATCTTTAAAATTGATGATATTGAACTTTTTGTTTTAAATATTCCATTTTTTTCTTGTATTATATTTTATATTTTCTCTGATAATTTCTATCTTTCTATTAATGACAACTGTGTTTACCTCTACCTCATAGAACACAGAATAGCTTTTATGTCACAGGGCACTAAGTTTTGGTTACACAAGATAAATAAATTCCACAGATTAACCATACAGCATAGTGCCTACAGTTCACAATACTGTATTGTTTACTTAAAAATTTGCTGAGTATGGATCTTATGTGACATGTTCTTATATTGTTAATAATAATAGTAATGATAATAATAATAAGTAAAGACAGCAGGAGGAAGTTTTTGGAGGTGATAGGTTTATGACATAGATTGTAGTGATGACTGCACAAATGTGTCCTTATCTTCAAACTTATCAAGTTTTATATACATTAAATATGTATAGCATTTGTGTGTCAATCATATTTCAACAAAGTGATTTAAAAATAAAGTCTCAAATATAAATCAAAATCACAATGAGTTAGACTATCACAATAATCAGAATGGCTATTACTAAAAAGTCAAAAAACAGCATATGCTGGCGAGGTTGGAGAGAAAAGGGAAGACTTATCCTGCTGGTGAAAATGTAAACTAGGTGGGCCACTGTGGAAAGCAGTTTGGAGATTTCTCAAAGAAGTTAAAACAAAACTGTCATTCCATGCAGTTATCCCACTAGTGGATATATGCCCAAAAGAAAATAAATTATATCAAAAAGCTACATGCACTAATATGTTCATCACAGCCCTATTCACAACATCAAAGAAATAGAATCAACTAAGATGTCCATCAAGAGTAGACTGGATAAAGAAAACGTGGTACACTGGGAGGCAGAGTTTATAGTGAGCTGAAATTGTGCCACTGCATTCCAGCCTGGGTGAGAGAACAAGACTCTGTTTTGCAAAAAAAAAAGAAAGAAACAAAAAGAAAAAAGAAAATGTGGTACATATACAACATGGAATACTATACAGCCACAAAAAAAAAGATGAAATCATGTCCTTTGCATAAACAAAAATGCAACTGAAGGGCATTATCTTAAGTGAATGAATGCAAGAAGAGAAAACCATATTCCACATGCTCTCATTTATAAGTGGGAGCTAGGCATTGAATACACATAGACACAAAGATGGGAACAATAGACACTGGAAACTCCTTGAGGGAGAAGAACATGGGTTGGAAGGCAACTTATTATCTACTGTGCTTACTATCTAGGTAACAGGATCATTCATACATTAAGCCTCAGCAACACAAAATTTACCCATGCAACAAATCTGCATATGTACCCGCTAGAACCTAAAATAAAAGCAGAAGAAAATAAAAGATCCATAAAGGAAATATACACTAAATTATGATAATAATTTGCATAAAATTATGAACTCCCTTACAAAATAAAATCAACAGTGTTAGAAGAAACTGAAACTAATTTCTAATGAAGTCAATGAGCTATAAGTTCTATGGTTCACGAAAATTTGGGACTAGAATAAATTCTTGATTCATGCCTATTGCAACCTCAGCGTTGCTTATCCTCCGAGGTGTATCATCAACAATTTGACACTCCAGTTAAATTCCATGCAGTTTTTAAGAACAATAAACATGGAGAAAAATTTTTAAGTGTATAAAGTTGTTTCAGCCAACAGATGTAGAGTAATTGCTACAAGTAAATGAATATCAGGCAATCAACCTGATTCAGACTGCATGTTTTACTTGAAGTTTCTGTGAGACTATCCAAGCAGGTTATTAAGCAGGGACTTTGAAATGACAACATGAAATTCAAGAGAAAAGTTGAGTATAGATATGGAGTCATATACCTAAAGACAATAATTGAAATACATGAGTGTATTAATAAGACAATATGTGCAAAAATGAAAGGTTTAAAAATGTATAAAATACCAATCTAGGGACTCCATATTTGGGTCCCCTTCCGCGAACACTCTCGTGGAAGCCATCTTCCTCTTTCCTGGATTTCCCCACTGGGGTCCCCTTCCACACTCTCTCGTAGAAGCCTGTCTTCCCCTCCTAAACTCCATCTCTCTCTCTATTCCTTTCCACTCAGTGTGGAAGCTGCTTTCCTCTCCTGGATTCCATTTTTCTGGATTCTCTCACTCAGTGTGAGAGTCAGCTGTTTCTTTCTCTCTTCTCCTGTTTCTCTCTCTCTCTCTAAATAAATCACTTTCTACAAGAAAAAAAAAAGTACCAATCTAGGTATCAGATAAGAAAAACAAGAAAAGAGATAAAGATACCAAGCTTACTTTCTGTTACAGTGCCTAGATTATAGCTGACGATCTATGTTGAATCTGAATAAAAAGACAACACAAGGATGAAGTGAAATAATTCTAAAGTTAGAATAGAGTTAAGCATATTTTGAGTTAAAGGGAAATAATACAGTAGATAAAGAGTTAAATAGAATAAATTGAGATTAGAGACATTGATAAAAATATAAGGAGTCTGTATTAGAAGCAATGCACCATGGTAGCATTATTATAAATTTCCTGATAGAAAAAGTCATAGGATTCAATATGTACCTTTTGTGGTAAAATAAACTTTACTTAGCAATTAATTGATTTACATCAAGGTAAGAGAAAAGAAGGTATCACATCAGATCTTCATAAGTAAGTGGTTAGATAAATAATGGTAACCCATTCTTTAAGATAAAGTAAATAAAAGAGTTTATCTTTAACATCTCTTATTATCCCACCCTCTACATTCCAAACAAGGCACTATAAAAAGGGGCAGAGGATCAATATCACCAAATTGTATAAACATCAAGAGAAGAGATGTTTCTACATAAAAGGGAAAGAATAATTAGTAAAACATGTGAAGAGAATCCCGTCTCCACATCACAGTCCAATTCCATATGCATGGTGAAATTAAAGATAGCATCCACTAGAGAATGTTTTTTTTAATTTATCTGTGAAAGAACAATGTTTGTTAAAGCAAAGGAAGAGAAGTTATTCTGTGATAAGAATTTAGAATGTAAAGAGATTTGTTCACAAAGGAACAGTAGAATGGTAGGGATAAAGGCCAATGGTAATGGTGAAAAGAGCTGGGGTAAGGATGTGCACAGTGTCATAGGGAGTTAGTAATACAGAGGAAATAGTTTTAGAGAGGCGTTATCTTTCAGCTGGTCATTGAAAGTAACAGAAATGCAGTCATGGTTAGAACTTACTGATCTTAAGTAGACTGTTATTGAGGCACGGAGAACTAACAAAAGATTGCAGGTTAACCTGTTCTGATTGTGCTATGTGTTTCTATCCTTGCCTGTGCCACCTGTTATGTTGGTGAGAACTGCCTTTAGGTTATACGGGAGCAGCAAGAAGATACTTGTACGGGTGGGGTCTACCACAATCTGAGCAGCTTCTGGTTTTGGTAAGTTCTGCCACACTATCTATAAAATGGACAAAAAAGAGAAAAGGACAATTGAACACAGGGCTGCACAAGAAAGAAACAATAACCATAGAAGCTCATACCGTGTTTTCCTTTGCCGTTGTTCAGATATTATTTCTTTATTGTATTAAAATATATATATTACATACAATTGGCCAATTTAACCATATTTAATTGTACAGTTTAGTGGTATTAATTACCTTCACAACATTTTGCAATCATAACCACTATCTGTTTATAAAATATTTATACCACCCAAAACATAAACTCATAACCATTAAGCAATAACTCTTCACCACCATTATCTACCCTTAGCCCCTGGTGACCACTAATCTACTGTCTGTCTCTAGTAATTTGCCCATTTCAGATATTTCACCTTCATTTCCTAAGAAAGATATTGGTCATTGCTTAAGAGCACTGAGTTATCATCTTTAGAAGACTGGCCACTGACGGTATACTGAGACGACATATAAACTGGAGAGCAGTAAACAGCTTACAATGACCAGAATTGTCATAAAAATGAGTTAAGTGACTCAAATATCATCTAATAGATATTTCTTGGAACTGAAAATTTAGAAAGAAAATGTTCTATCTGAAAGGTCACAATGACTTTTCAACTCCTGCCAACTGTTGTCATTAAGTAATTAGAAACTCGGTGCTGCCAGATTTTTCTTTTCTAGGAAAACTAGAGCATTCAAACTGTTAGGCAAAAAGTCCAAAATTTTTAAAAGTCTGTAGGTCAAATCTGGCCCTTGTGTCATCAGCTTATGGACTTTATATTACAAAGAATTATTTCGTTGCAGAAAAATGCTATTATATTTTAAATGGCATGCATTTGTAATAAACAAAGATACAAGCTTTGTGACTTTTTTGAGCAAATCTGAGAGGCCCAGGTATACATGCACAAAAAGAGTATTTCCTAAGGATGAGGAATGGCAAAGCAGAATGAGCAGAAGGTCAGGAATCCAAGGGGCTCTAGAATGGTAAGTTATTTCTTTGTGCCTTTGTGTTATTTAATTCATTTTTTCTTTTGACAAAACCGTATATATTTATTATGTACAACATGATGTCTTGAAATTTACATACATCTTTGAATGGTGAAATTTACCTTGTGAATTTCACCTTGTGAATAATGGTGAAAACTACCTCACATTGCTCTCGTTTTTATGATAATACTTAACATGCATTCTTTCAGCATTTTTCAATCATGCAATATATCATTAAACATAGTCACCTTGATGTACAATAGATCTCTTGAATATATTCTTCCTATCTCCCAGGCAATGTCTCACTAACCTCCCCTTCCTCCTAACAACTCTAGCCTCTGTAATCACCATTCTACTGTACTTCCCTGAGATCAACTTTTTTAGATTAAGGACAGTGTCCACTAGAGAATTTTTTTTATTTATCCTGTGAAAGAACAATGTTTATTAAAGCAAAGGAAGAGAAATTGTTCTGTGATAAGAATTTAGAATGTAAAGAGATTTACATATATAAGCGAGATCATCTGGTATTTATCTTTCTGTGTTTTTGTGCCTTTGAAAAATAGTGCCTTGCCATCTTGATAGAAATTCAATAATTATTTGTTCAATTGTTTAAAAAGGAAAGAAAAAAGCATCAGTTAATATGACCTTATTGAACCATTCAAATTAGTAATGCCATCATTAAAGTTATAAAAAGCATTTCACTTTCTAAACATCTGGAAGAGGCAGCTTTTTAGCTTTCCTGGGTTTTCCTAAGCTAAGAAAATTGGTAATAATTCATGGGTCCCATTTTGTGAGCAAGATTTTCTCTTTTAGATGTCAAAATAATAATAAAAAAAAGTTTAAAAACACTAACTATGAAGATCTTTCTGGTGAGACTGACAATAAGTGTGTATTACTTTTTGAAACACTCAGTACTTACTTTAAACATTTTACGTAAAATTATATTGATCTCTGCTTAAAAATATTCCCTGAAAAACATATATGGTCTCAATTTAAAACAAGAGATACAGGCCGAGGACACCAAAAATCTGATTCCCTTCTTCTGTTCCAAGCAATACATAATAAATTTTTATACAGTATTTGTTACTTGAGTACAATTGAAAATTGCATCAATTCTCACAGCCTTGGCTTCAAGGTTTTTTCTTTTGTTGTTGTTCTTCTTCTTTATGATCCGAATTCTGATGGGTCCCTCTTGTGGTTAAAATCAGAAGAGGTTATATGAGTTTCGTTTTATTTTCTTGTTTATAAAAAGATCTAAAATAAAACCCACTGTGAAAAAATAAAAAGTTATGAAAAGTTATTTCTGAAACGTTTGAATTTATTTTCCCTACCCTCAAGAGGTTAATAGATAACAGGGAATAAAGGCACAGGAGCAGATATTTCAATGCGGTGTTATTAATACCAAAAGGAATGATTTTCACAACGAGCAGTAGTGGCACAAAGAAAGTATCTGATTCCTTTTACCTCTTGGGAATGTTAGTAAGGAAATAGTACTGCTTGTTTGATTCTTCAGGGCTTTGGTTAGAATGCTAAGCTACGATTATGTGAGAAGAAAGGCAAGTGTCAGAATTATTTTTGAGGCAGTATGTCGAGGGCTCAACACTGGGATCAGAAAAAAAAAGAAACTAAGATAAACATAAGAGTCAAACTTGAAAGCTAGACAGAGATTAATTATCCAGGGATGATATTAGAGATGAGCAATAGGTAGACTTTGGCCAAAAACAAAACAAAAAAAAGTGTAGAAAATCTGACAGGTGATTTCTTTCTTGTAGTAAAATAAACTTTGCCACTTTGATCATATTTTTTGCTTTGCACATTTTAAGTTTCTAAGTTTTTAAAATTTTATTTAAATGTTTTTAAGGGTACAAATGGTTTTTTATTACATAGGTGGATTGTGTAGTGGTGAAGTCTGGGCTTTAGGTGTACCCATCACCAGAATAGTGTACATTTTACCCAATAGGTAATTTTTTATCCCTTACCCCCTCCCAAACTCCCCACTTCTCAATCTCCAGTGTCCATTGTACCACTCTGTATTCCACTGAGTACCCATAGCTTAGCTCCAATTTATAAGTTAGAACATGTGGCATTTGATTTTCTGTTTCTGAGTTACTTCATTTAGGATAATGGACTTTGGTTCCATCTAAGTTACTGAAAAATATATTATTTCTTCATTCTGCTTTATGGCTGAGTAATATCTCATATATATATATGATTATATATGATACATAATATATAATATATATCATCATATATATTATATATTATACATATATATCATATATTATATGTAATCATCATATATGTGATCATCATATATATGATCATATATATGATATATATAATAAATATGATGAGATATTACTCAGCCATAAAGCAGAATGAAGAAATAACATATTTTTCAGTAACTTAGACAGAACTGAAGATGTATATGATGATATATACATTATATATATATATATATATATATATATATATCACACTTTATCCTCTCATAGGTTATTGAGTGTTTAACTTTTTTCCAACTCTTTGCATCTGTGAATTGTGCTGCAATAAACATACATATGCAGGTGTCTTTTGTATATAATGATTTATTTTCCTTTGGGTAAGACACCTAGCAATGGGTTTGCTGGGTTGAATGATAGATCTACTTTTAGTTCTTTGAGAAATCTCCATACTGCTTTCCATGGAGGTTGTACTGATTTACATTCTACTAACAGTGTATAAGTGTTTCTCTTTCACAAAATCCACATTAATATCTATTGTTGACTTTTTAATAATAGTCATTCTGGCTGGGATAAGGTCTTATCTCGTGGTTTGACTCGCATTTCCCTGATTATAAGTGATATTGATCATTTTTTCATGTTTGTTAGTCATTTATACATTTTTTGAGAAATATCTATTCATGTCATTTGCCTACTATTTAATGAAATTATTCATTTATTTCTTGATGATTTGAGTTCTTTATAGATTTAAGATATTAGTTATTTGTTGGTTATATGGTCTGCAAATACTTTCTCCCATTCTGTAGGTTGTCTATTATTTTTATAATGACCCTCTTTGTCTTCTTTGCCTGCTGTTAAAATTTGTTTTGTATGATATAAGAACAGCTACTCCTGCTCACTTTCATTTTCTGTTTGCATAGAATTTTTTTCCCACTTCTTTACCTTGAATATAAAAATACCTTTACATGTTAGATGAGTCACTTGATGGCATCAGATGTTTGGGGTGTGTGTGTGTGTGTGTGTGTGTGTGTGTGTGTGCATGTGTGTTTAATCCAGTCTACCAATCTGTATTTTCTAAGTGTGGCATTTAAATCATTTACATTCTTAGTAAATATTGATAGGTGAGGTACTGTTCCAGTCATCATGTTGATTGTTACCCGGTTACTTTGTTTTCTTCATTGTGCTACTGTTATGTGAGTTCTGAGAATTTCATACTTTCAAGCATTTTTATTTTCTTATTTTTCATTGGTTTATTCCTTTTACTCTTTACTTTCACTTGACGTGTAATAATTGTACATATTTATGGCACACAGAGTAGTATTTTGATACATGAATAAAATGTGTAATGACCAAATCAGAGTAAGTAGTACATCCATCACCTCTAACATTTATTATTTCTTTGTGACAGGAAAACTCAGAATCCTCTCTCAGCTTTTTGAAAATATACAGTAATTTATAACTAAATATTTATATTTAAGGTAATTTATAATTTACCCTACAGTGCGGCAGAATACCAGAGGGCATGTCTCCCATCTAGCTGTAATTTTGTATCCAATTACCAACATCTCCCCCATCTCCCTTCCCCCTTAATCTTCCTAGTCTTTATACCCACAATTCTACTCTCTACTTGTGTGAACTCAAAAATAATGTTTTCAGCTCCCATATGAGTGAGAAGACATGGTACTTATCTTTCTGTAACTGACTTATTTTGCTTAACATAACATCCTTCAGGCTGAGACTCAGGCCTTGACCCAGAGAAAAGATGAATCTGCAG